GAGATGTGGCAAGTAAGGAGTTGCCATTTTTAGAATTACATAAGCCCATTTGATTGCCATCGAGGCACTCTGTGCAGCTCCTGCCACGGTGCCCTGCCGGTTGCTTTGCAGTGGGACTAGATTTCAAACAGTTTTAGAAGCAGGTCAGATACCAGCCTTGAAAATTGGATTCAGGTTGAAAATTTCGATGTTACTCCTGCCATCATTGACAATATAAACCAGTACACCATGTAAGGACTCTGAGCCAGTTTGCTTCCAAAATCCCACTAACCACACTTCTTCTGAGACCTGTACAGTGCTCCAAAAACTTAGCTCCTCAATTAAAGAGAAAAAAAAATCTAAAAATATAAAATAAAATTATCTGCCTATAGATAGGCAGTAACGTACATAACTCAATAAAAGGGATGAAAAAATACTCTGAAGGGTCTCAAAGCCACTTCTCCATCCAAAGTGGCCTTTCCAGGCACTACCCCTGCCCCAGTGTGGCAGTGTTCGTTGGGTGACAGGGCAGCAGGGTCACCCCACCAATGCTATGGGCCCTACAGGAGAAGATGGACTGACTGCCCGTGGGGGCTGAGGCACACGGGACTGCAGGGGTACAGCTCCCGTTGGACGAAGCACTGTGGTTTCAAAGGAATAACCGGAAAGATTCACATGGGTGACGACCCTGGCTTCACCTCTGCCCCAAACTTCGCTATCCTGACTTCTCTGTTCATTGCTCATTAATTTGTCCAAGCAATTTTTCTGTCTCTGACCACTGCAAACTGACTTGAGGTCAAACACCTTGGGAGCATCCCTGGGCTGACCGAGGTCGTAGTTGCTGCCTTGCACGGACACAGTCCCAAGTCCTGCTCGGTAGGGCCAGGGCCGGGCAGCACCGCAGCCCAGCCCAGCCCTGGGGCCATCAAGCGCACCTTTGCACAAAGCTGCAAAAACACAGAAAAAGCCGCTCCCCCGCCCTAGCTCGCAAAGACAGCCCCATCCTAAATTGCCTGGGCCGGTGGCTCACCCGGCAGTCCATTACCTCCTATTAAAAAATAATAGGGAAAAGAATTGGGGGGGGGATTATTTAGAAAAATACCTATAAAAAGCAAAGCAGCATGGAAATCAAAGCCACCATTTCGGGGAGATTGAAGTATAATGCTAATAACTTTCGGCAGCTTCCACTGCGGAGTTTAAGCAGCTGCCAAGTTAAATAACTAGGAGGATCCTAAGTTATCTTCCAGTGGACCAGAAATGCCCAGTGCCGACTGCCCGGGCGGAGGCGGCCCCGACGGACGCGGGGAGTCGGGCCGAGCCTGCGGGGCCGTGCGCTCCGCCCGCCTGGGACCCACCCGGGACGCGTCCCCGGGAGCCCCTCAGCAGGCGGGTCTGCCTGTGGAGGAGCGAAAGGGGAACCCCCGCCTGTTTTCGATGCCAGCGGCCGGGCAGCGTTTGGGGCCGGGGCTGCCGGGCGCGTCCGGGACCCCCGAGGGGAGCGGGCGCTGCAGAAGCCCCGGGTGACCCCGCGTGTCCCGCACGGGCCCGGCCCGGCCCGCCCGGGCACCGCACTCGTTTTTCTGGGGAGGCAGCGGCGTAAAAACAACCGTAGGATCGATCGCGTCCGCAATGGGAACGTCTTTGCGGCGTGCGCCTTCTTGGGAAAAATCCGCAAACCATTTCTACCTCCAAATGTCGGGGGTGAAGGATTAAAACCCCACGGGGGAACTGCCTCCACGGGAGAGGCAGAACGCGGGGCCGAGCCCGGAGCCCGCTGCGCGCCCGACGTGCGGATGTTCCTGCCTCCCAAAGCCGGGCTGGGCCGCTCGGCCCCCCCAGACCCCGGGAGCAGAGGGGCTCGGGCTCGGTGCTGGGCAGGCGGCGGGGCTGGGACAGCTGTCTCAAAGTCAGTCAGTTGTAATATGCTCGCCGGAACAGCAGAAGTCGAATCGATAGAGACGGCCTCCAGCTGTGCCTAAACCTGCGATTTCAATTAAAATACTGAGCTCTGATGCCCGGGTCTTAGCTGGGATCTCAAGTCCTGATGCGTAAGGCGTGCGGCACCCGGTTTGGAGCCGGCCGGGAGGCAGCGGCACGGCCCGAGCCGGTACCCGGCCTTGGGATGCACCGGAGCTTCTCCCGGCTGCAGGAAGGAGGCAGCCCCGGGGCTCCGAAAGGGCCCCCCCCCTCCTCTCCTCGCCCCCAGGAGCCCCGAGGCCTGCGGGACCCGCTGTCCCGAGCAGGGCGGTGGGTGCGCAGCAGCAAGCCGGCAGCCGTCCCCTTGGCCAGGGAGGGAGGGAAAGAGGGGGAGACCCGGTTCACAAACACCCCGGCAAGGACGAGGGCGGCTCGGGGAAGCTGGCAGCGAGCTCCCGGTCCCGGCTCTGCAGCCCTTCTTTTATCCTGCCCGAAATCATCTCGTTTACAGAAAATATTTGTTTGCACTATTAGTTGGTACTGGAGTTAATTACTCAACGTGTGAGCGGGGAGTAATATGGATAAAAGCAGCCCCAGTGTTTATTGTGTGGGTGAGCTGTTTGAGCGGTGCTTGAATAAACTGCAATTAGGGTTAGATAGAGATTAATTAACATGTGAGTGGCAAGGTGTAAAATAGTTCCCAACCCTCCACTCAGTATAATCTGCAGGCGAGGAAAAGAAGTTTGTGGAGGCTAATTAAATACTTCGCTAAAGCCGGCGAGCCCCGGGAGTGAGCGGAGCCCAGCCCAGCGCAGCCTGTCCGCTCCCGCTGCCCGGAGGACGCGCAGGCTGGGCGGGCAACGCGGCTCCCCGGGGCTCAACCGGGCTCTCCCGCAGCCCAGACACCGGGCACGGCTTCTGTGGTTGTCCCCGGTCCCGTCCCAGCCTCTCGCCCAGAAGCGGGACGGTTCGGTCGCTCCCTCGCCCTCTGACCCGTCAGACCCGGGAGGGCAGGGCTGGGCGGACGCCAACACCTGATGCTCCAGGCGGGATGTTCCCCCCGGGGCTGCGCGCTCCCCTCTGCCCGCAGGCAGCCCGGGACGGCCGCCGCTTTTAAAGTTTGTTTCTGGAGCGTGTTGTGGTTCGCAGGTGAAAAAGCCTGTCTGCAAACAGCCGCCGGCGAGCTGTCCCGGCGGGGAGAGGAGGCGCGGCTTTGTCAGCGCCGCACAAAACCCCCGAATTCCTCTAAACTTTCTTAGACGCGCGAGGGAGGGGGGAAAATATATATATATATAGGGGCCTTTTCATTGCTTGCTTTACCTCTGGCCAGGCTCAATCTAAACCCTTCGCTCCCTCCCTCTCCCCCGGCTAATCCTTCCCTTTATTTTAGAAACACACAAAACCAGGTTCCACGCAGCGCTATAGTGGCTACAAGTGAAAGAGAATTGAGCGCCCTGAATCGCCGGGGGAAAATTGGTTCGGCTGAATAGCCCCGGCGAGGGACGGGGCGGCTAATCAGAGCCCGGGGGGTGCTGCCCTGCAGCCGGGCCCCCCCAAACAGGTGGACGCGGGACTCTCAATTGCCGCGTCCTCGCATCTGAGGTTTCTGCAAATCCTCCCCTCCCGCATCACGGCGTTTTAATTAGAGAGAGGAAGGAAAGAAACCCCGGCATCCAGGCGCTATAATGTAGCGTTGCCTATTTGGGGGGGGCGGGGGGGAAAGGGGGGAGAAGAAAGTGCTTGGGGGGAGTGGGAGGGGGGGCAGGACAAGGGCTACAAGGGCAAGGGAGAGTCGTCGGGTGCCCCCCGGGGCAACGGGCACCTTTAGGGGGTGACAACTTGCAGAACTTCCCTTCGCTGAACACGGGTCTTTTTTATTATTATTATTTTAAATTTTTTTTTCAGCAGCGAAATCGAGTCCTGGACACGACTCCCTCTGCATTTATTTAAGGCTAATCACCAGCTACCCTGAGAGGGGAGAGGGCTAGAATTAAACTTAGTTTAATTAACATTAATACACTGTCCTAATTAATGGGTTGGCTATTAATTTATACATGCTGGAGAGCCTCGCAGATAAGTGACAATTTATTAATTATCTTCCAGCTCGGTTGCAACGGAGCTGATTGCAGATGGGTTGCCAAAATAACTCGAGCATGGTTGCGTGGTAGTTGCTTTAGAAAAAAAAAATCATTCTCCCCCTTCTTAAAAAAAAAAATAAAAAAAGGAAGAAGAAGAAAAAAATCCTCACGCTCATTCGGAGTGGCTCTTCTAACCCCAGCAAGAACTGGAGCACTCTTTTCCACCCAACTTGTGAATCGCACTTGCCTTCTAATTTGCCACATGCAAAACGATTCCTCTGCTTTGCAAGTTGCTTTTTAAGAAGGGAGAGAGAGAGGAAAAACCCAGCTCGCACACGAGCGATTTGTGCGTCTTAAACTGGAAGGAAATTGTGCGTGGAGAGGGGGGGGCTCGTCTTCCTCTCTCTGCCCCAACCCACCGCGCTCCAGCCCGGCGCCTCGGCTTGGGGAAGATCCATGGTGGCATCCCCATGTCATTCTGCTCAAAGTGACTTCATATGATGTCAGCTTTAAATGTTCGAGACCGTGATCTGACGCTCAGGAAGATGTTTGCTATCAAAATGTGACTGTGGCCACGCTGCGCTGCTTGGATGAGTCTCGCCGGCGCCGGGCAAAGGTAAGTGGTCCCAAGGAGAGCCCCGCCGCCCCTCGCCGTGCCCCCCGCCCCTGCTCCCGCATTTCCCGGACCATGGCCATCGGTGGGGCTCGGCTGGGTGGGGTTGGGGTGGGGGGGGTTTTTTTTTTTTTTTTTTTTTTTTTTTTTTTTTTTTTTAAATACTAACAAGGTCTAGCTTGCATGTTACTTTAGCGTGTTCCGCTTAATGAGCAGTAATCTGGTACCCTACGTGCCATTGTTCTTGAATATGTTCATTTGAATGTAAATAGGGAGGGGGTGCCGGTGGGGGGTGGGGTGGGGGGAGAACAAGGTGCTTATTAAATTGATTTGTCTCCTGGCTTTTCTGGAATGCAGAGCCGAGCGCGGGAGCGAGTCGCTGCTCACACCAAGTTCCCGCACGGCGGAGCGACATGGCGAGCCCGGGGTCGCTGGAGACGGTCATGCCTTCCTCCTGCCCCCGGCACGACGGCAGAGCCGCCACCGCTAACCCCTCCAAGACCCTGGCCTTCTCCATCGAGCGGATCATGGCAAAGTCGTCGGAGCCCAAGCCGGCCTTCGAGGAGCGGCACGGCGGGCCGGGGCCGGAGCCAGGCAAGAAGCCGCTGAGCCTGTGCTCGCCCCTGCCCTGCGTGATCCCCATCCCGCCGCTGGGCTACGAGCTGCCCTCCAAGACTCTCAACTACTCGGAGCTGTGGAAGAGCAGCCTGCGGGGCGGTGCGGGGCTCTGCAAAGCCAACTGCGGCGTCTGCTGCAAGGCAGAGCTCGCCCTGGGCCAGCCCAGCGGCCGGCTCATCAAGCCGCAGGTCATCCACCAGGCAGGGGCCGTTCCGGCTGCCCCCCGCTCCCTCTACTACTTCAACTACCTGGACGCCGCGTACCACCCGGCCGACCTCCTGCACGGACAGCTCTTCCCGGCCGGCCTGCTGGGCGCCCCGCCGCCGGGGGGGCTCTCGGCCCACCAGAAGCTTTTCCTGCTGGAGAATGCCAAACTGGCGGGGCTGGCGGCCGAGAAGCTGCCGCCGCCGCCTCCCTTCGCCCACAAGGAGCGGCTGCCGGGACACCTGGACCAGGTGATGAAGGAGGCGGCGGCGGCGGAGCGCGGCGGCCCCCCCAAGGGCCACGCCAAGATGGGGGGCGGCGGCGGCGGGGCGGCGGAGGGCAAGCCCAAAAACTTTACCTGCGAGGTCTGCGGCAAGGTAAGGGGGGCGCCGGCATCGGGTGGGGGGAACCGGGGGCGGCGGCGGCGGGGCGGCGGAGGGCAAGCCCAAAAACTTTACCTGCGAGGTCTGCGGCAAGGTAAGGGGGGCGCCGGCATCGGGTGGGGGGAACCGGGGGCGGCGGCGGCGGGGCCGTTCCTGACCTCGCCTTCCCGGCGCTTCCCCGCAGGTGTTCAACGCGCACTACAACCTCACCCGCCACATGCCGGTGCACACGGGGGCCCGGCCTTTCGTCTGCAAGGTCTGCGGGAAGGGCTTCCGCCAGGCCAGCACCCTGTGCCGGCACAAAATCATCCACACCCAGGTAGGTGGGGGGCGGCCGGGTTGCGGGAGGCGGCGGCCGCCCCTGCTCTCCGCGCAGCCCCCACTGACGGGCCTCTCGCACCCCGGTGCAGGAGAAACCCCACAAGTGCAACCAGTGCGGAAAGGCGTTCAACAGGAGCTCCACGCTCAACACCCACATCCGCATCCACGCCGGCTACAAGCCCTTCGTCTGCGAGTTCTGCGGCAAGGGCTTCCACCAGAAAGGTGAGCTGAGCCGGGACGCGCCGGGGCCCTCGCCCATCATTAGCGGGGATTAAACGCGGCGAGCCCTGCCTGGCTGGGGGAAGCGAGGGGCGCAGGCAGATCCGCCGCCGCTCCCAATTACTTTCTCTCTAAGCTGGGCCGCATCGCCGGGCAGTGCTGACGGTTCCCCCTAAATGCTTTTTAAATGAAAGGTGCCGGGCCTTGGTCCTAATCCAGGGCCCTCCGTTTGCCGCGGGTCACCGGGTTGACCCTGCCTCTCATTTGTGCCATGCCAGTTGCGCGCTGCTCCGCGCTGACGAGGACCGAGTTTGACAAGTGGGACGGGGGTGCGGGTTGAGACACTTCCTAATGCCTCCCCTTACCTGTGCACCGAGCGGCCCGGGCACCCTCGGGTAACTCCGTTTTCCATCTTTTTCCTCTTTCGCAGGCAACTACAAGAACCACAAGCTGACCCACAGCGGAGAGAAGCAGTACAAGTGCACCATTTGCAACAAAGCCTTCCACCAGATCTATAACTTGACTTTCCACATGCACACCCACAATGACAAGAAGCCCTTTACGTGTGTCACTTGCGGGAAAGGATTTTGCAGAAACTTTGATTTAAAGAAGCACGTCCGAAAGTTGCACGACAGCGTCTCCAGCGCTCCTCCGCCGCGGGACCCTGGGCGCAGCGGGCAGAGCTAAGGGCCCGGCACGCCGCCACACTCGGACCTGCTCAACCAGGCCAGCACTATTTATCCAAACCAGCCTTCGCTTCTCTGTCCTTTTCCCAGCGAGCTCAGCCGCCGGTAGCAAGCGACCCCGAGCCGCAGTTGTATATAAGAGGAATCTTATTTAATGGCGCGTTGCGCCGCCGGAGCGGGCCGGGACGGGCCGGGCTGGCCGCACCCTGCCCGGCACCAGGACAGCGCTCTTTATACGTGTCTGTAAATCTCCATTTTAAATGTACGCTCGAATAAGTGAGGAATATATCTATATCTATATCTATCATGGGACAATAAACCGGCCCTTCGCAGGTGTCTCATTTCCCAGCTGGGCCCCGGCCCGAGCGGGGACCGGGCTGCACGGCGCTGTCCCCGTTGAGCGCGGCTTGCGGGAGCCGGGCCCTGCCGCTCCAGGGCCCGCCGAGCGCCGCGAGCATCAGAGGAGCGGAATGAGGGCGGGAGGGAGCCGGGCGGCTTCAGAGGGCTGCTGCCGCCCCCCGGAACGGGGTCAGAGCCCTTGCAGGACCCCCGGCGGGGCTGCGCGGCCCCGACCGGCAGCGCGAAGGGCGGCTCGGAGTTTCCCAGCGCCGCTTTTCGGGGTCGGTTCATTACGGCGTGTTTAAACCGCTCCTGAATGACTATCTTTCCTTGCATGCAGATAAAATGATCTCACGCTTGCTTTCCGAGTAATGACCCAAATTAAGAGAGAAAACACAGACCCTTCAAACCGCATTACATTAATCTAATCACTCCCAGCAGGCCTCAGAAACTCTTTGTGATCAGAATATGGATAATCAAGCACTTGGATTACACTAAATATTCCCTTCTCATCTCCCCCCCTCCCTCACTTTTAATACGCAAGTGTCTATTCCGGCCACGTCGTTAGGAACAATATTATTCTAGCGGAGAAAGGAGATTGAGGAGGCCGGGCGTGTGCGTGCTGCTCGGGCCGGGCTTGCCAATGAAGAGGGGAACGAGAGAGGCACCGAAATGCCTGGGGACGGCGTAATGGGGAGCTCACCTTTCTCCGCTTAATTGAGTGGTTAAATAGAGGGAGGCGAGGACGAGCACAGCTCGCCGCCGAGCTCAGGAACGGGAGTCGACCCCTCGCTCCGGGTTTCTGGATTCATTATTAGGCTGCGATGTTCCGCGTTCTCCAAGGAGCGGGCTGGGGGCTGGGGCCGGGGCTCTGGGCCCCGCGCTCCCGCTGTAGAGACGGGGCGATTTGAGAGTTTATCGGGGTTTGCATTTTCCAGTGTCTAAAATAGCGTTTTGATGGTTTGAGGAGCGAAAAAGAACGTCCAGTGATCCTGGCAGCGGGGAAAGATCATGACCGAATTTGTTAAAAAATTTTGGGACAGTTCTAGGTTAAAAGGAAATTTTAAAAAAGGACAAAAATGCAAACCCCGTCACTGATAAGTCACCCGCTCTGGAAACCCTGTCAGGGGGAAATGGTCCCGCAAGTGAAGGGGCTGCGGCTCAGCAGCCGAGCCTGGCTCTCCCGCCGCGGCGACAGACGGGGCGGGACAACCCACGGGCCGGGGACAGCGGGAGGGACCCCTCTCCCCGCGAGGACACCGTGCCGAGGGAGGCCACGGCAGGACGAGGTCCCGGAGGACGGGAGCGCATCCCGAGGGCTGCCTACGGAGCCGGTCCCGCTGCCAGGTCCGGGGGAAGCGCCGCTTTCTCCGCACCTCGGGCGCCGGGAAGAGGTCTGGGCTGCCAGCCGGGAGCCGAAAGCGGGAGCCAGGCGCGGCTGCGGGGCCCACAGACAGCGCGCAGGCTGCTTCCTCAGCTCTCCTGATGGGCGAGAGCAGTGCGAAACCCACTCCTAGGAAGGGAATTAAGCAAGTGCGTTCTTACAGCATTTTTATAAAAAGCGGCGCTGTTTACAGAGCCGTCTGGGGGGGAGGGCGGCATCCCCGTCACGGCTAAGGGCATCTTCGGGGCACCCTGAAGTGCCGTGTCCGCCGCCGCTGGTGGCCTTGGTCACTTGGCCCTTCCTGGGGGGCGGTGGGCAGCATCCCCGGGCCGGCTGTCGCTCCGGCTTCCCCCCGATCTCGGACGCGCTGGGAAGGGGCCGCGGCAGCGCGCTCGCCACCGGCCGGCCCCGGACCCCCCCCGGCTCTCGCCCGGATCCCGGCACACACAAGCCGCAGATCGCGGGGGAGGGGTGGCTCTGTCAGACACACACACGCCAGAGACTCCAATTATCTTCTCCCTCACAAGATGTTTCTGCTGTCCACGACTGCTCACACTTCGGCACTCTTGCCAGCAAGCCTCAATAACACAAAACCCGCACAAAAACCCCTTTCCCGGCGCCGCAGCCGCGCACACAACAGATTGAGCGGTGCCGGTGCCTCGGGGGGAGGGTTAGAGGTGCCTCTGAGCAAAGAGCGACGTGCCAGTGCCTCCGTGCTTCCCCCTCGGCCCGCCCGGCCCGGCCCGGCGCTTCCCCGGGACCGGGCGGCTCCCAGGTGCGTCCCGGCACCGCGCCGGGCACCGGGAAGCGACCAACCTACAGGCAGCTGCGTTGCCCTTTTCCCTGCACTCCGCTCTCCAAACGTCTGAGCAACCAGTTTGCTGCTAGAAACATGTTAATTGCCAACGGAGCTCATTAAGGCATGCACATGCAAAACACAGCGAGGGAGATTAAATGGACAAAAGCGCAATAATGAACTGTCAAAAATCGGACCCATCTACACGACCAGGAGCACTCAAGAATGAGGCATTTAGAGGCAACAAAGGATTGTCTGGGACAGGAAGAAAGGACGACCTAGACTTTTGTTTAGTCAACACAATTGATTACAAATGAGAGATTAACAGGATAGCTTCAGAGTTTTTTTGAAGGAGGCAGAAGAGAAAAGTCCAATTAAGTGCACCGAATGTTAACTACATTGATTTCCACGGCCAGCGCTGGAGAAATTCTCATTAAACCATCCCTGGCGATCCCTTTTGGAAAGTAATTTGTCTCCCTGATGGAGCAGAGAAAGGGAGCCATGTAAAGAGAAAGAAGCGCTAGTTCTTGGCACAATGAGCTTAGGAGACACACTGGAAAGAGCCAAAGGGGGAGTTAATGAGCATCTGACAAGCCGCTTGGACCCGGGCCTGGAGAGCAGCGATGAAAAGATGGAATTGGCCAACAACTATTCTTTATATCAAACATAAAAAGGCCAATCTGAAACAGCGCTGCTCAAAGCTGGTGGGGAAGAAAAGAAAGGCCCCCAGTGAGGGGTGGAGTGGAGGGCTCAACTGCCCCATTGGGACGGGGGAAGAAATGCACTGGCATGTCCCTCTCCGAGCGAGCGGAGCTGCTGGCCCTACCCCCGGGCGGGCACGGCAGAGGGGGCCCGGCAGCCCCGGCCCGGAGGCGCTTGCACAGACCCGAATCGCCCCAGGGCAGCTGAGCTGGGTACAGTTTTAAGAAGTTATCCCGTGGAGGGAGATCACCGGTCAGCCCAAATCACGGCGGCGGGGCTCCCCCCGAAACCCGCCTTCCTCCTCCCCGGGGCTGCATTCGCCCGACCCCTCCGGCTGTCCCGGCTGCGGGCCCCCCCCGGCGGACCGGGCACCGCGGAGCGCGGCGCAAGGCAACGCGCGTCGTGTAGACACGGCTCGCTCGGAGGCTCTTAAATCAGATTAGAGCTCGTTAATAACAATTTTGGCTTAAGTCCGTATTGACTTAGGTTTAGGAATGGCTTAGCACTTTCGCTTAAGTCAACACCAGGGCTAAATTGACGCATGCCTTTCCCAAACCGCCGTGTCCCCCAGGACGCCCAGGTGCCCGCAGGACTTGCCCTTCTGCCGCTTTAAGCCGTTTTACGGAAGTATTTGCCTGATTTTTAAAGCAAGCCTGCTGGGCCTCGACTGTGCCAGACCATCCCTGAGTGTCATCCACGAGAGTCCCCTCCAGGGACGGGTTTCATGGGCCTCACCCTCCTAGGGTTGCAATCAGGGATTCCTGTTCTTTTAGGGTCTTGCTGCCAGCCCTTGAGCTCCTTTCCCAGCCTTCATGGTGTGGCTCCTGCCCACTCCCCTAACACCTCACACCTCCTGCCTCTCTCCTTAGGTCCCCTTTTAACCCCTTTAAATTTGTACCCTGGATACCCCCAAAGAGCCGGGGCTGCATTGCCATCCACAGAGAGGCTTAAGGGTCCGGAGGCAGCTGCCGCGGCACCCGGGGGAAAAGCCGGCATGGTGGGTCCCAGAGGAGGCATTCCCTTCAGCCGGCACTGACAGCGGCCACAGCGAGGGCTCCCGGCTGCCTGCCCGGCTACTTCAGACCCATTGAGAGAGAGCCACACACAGATGGGATGGCAAGGGACAGGTAGACCCTGGGGCTGTGCAGGCAGAGAGGGCCAGCAGCAGGGACAGGCACCCAACCCTTGGACTGCAGTCCTGGGGGATGATACGGTCACCCCATGACCTTCCTCGCCTTTAGATTCCTGCACACAGATCTCACACCACGCCCTCCCACCTCCCCCTTGCTGCCATCCTCCCCACCAGCCCTCCCACAGGTACGGTGCTGTGCTGACCGACACCAGCACCACGGGGCCTTAGTGAACACACATCAGGGGAAGCGGGAGATGCTCTTACCAGCTGGTTTCCACCACACATCCTCATTCCCCAGGTGACGCTGTTCCAGCTTTTAACCCCACTCCTAGCCTACTCTCATTGCTAACCCTGCCTAGCCCAAAGCCATAGCCTCGTGTTATTTGTATTTATCTCATTGATTTACTGCAATTGCTTAATTGATTGAATCACGGGCAACACGTGTCCTCAATTAAAAATTAAAAAAAGAAAAAAAAAAAAAAAAAAAAAGGAAAAGGGTACATGTAGACTTCTGTGCTCTCTGTTTTACGGGCGGTCTCTCCTCGTAAGATGTTGAAGCTGCAGCTGGGCTACGTGGCTCAACCCTCAGGGAGCTTCGGGTGTGCTCCCCAGGGAGCACAAGCAGCCGTTCAGTGCGGGTGCTTCAAGTCACCAGTGATCTTAAACTCCACTTTAAAGTGACTCCGGTAAGAGCGTGTTTAGTCCCCGAAGCACATTTTTGTCTCAATGGGGACAAAATGCAGCCAGACACAGACCACAGAAAAGGTCCGCTCCCAGAATTCTGGATGTGTAAGCCCGAAACAACGCAAAACTTAACTTCTACAAATATTTGCATCTTTTCCGTCTTCTGCGTTGGCAGAAGAAGCAGGCTGATGACAAACTTTAAAAGAGATATGATCCCGGGGCAGAAGTACTCCCTGCCGATGGGACAAGGAATGGGGACCTCGCTGGACCCGCTTCGCCTCTCCCGGCTCCTCGCCGAGCCTCTCGGAGCATCCCCGGCCCCTTCCGGGCCGCGCCAGCCCGCGGGCAATGCGCACAAACGGGGCCACAGCAGCGGGCGGGGGGCAGCGCTAGCCCCCGTCCCAGCCCGCGGGGCTGCTCTGCCAGCGGCGGCCGGGAGCCCAAACACAACGGGGATGTGAAACGAGGGGGAGCTTTGAACCACTTGGGAGACCGAGGCCAGGGGAGCCAGGTATTTTCCCACATCAGCGCCGCGGCAATGGACACGGCTGTCCTGTGAAGGAAGCGCTCAGGAGCTCAAACCGCAGAGAGCACCTGAGACCTCCTGCAGCCGCGCTCCCGAGGTCCCGTTAGCTGTCTGATACTCCTTCTACTCTCTTCCTACTGCTGCCAAAGATATTTCACATAAATAGAAGCTTTCTGATGTATTATCAGCCTCTTCCTTCTGATTCATTATGTTAATGAATTGAGATATTACCAACACTGGATTATCGTATCTATCAATGAATCCAGCAAAAGAAAGCTAATTATAGAGGAAAAAGCCAAGTGTACCCGGAAACTTAACACAAAGAAGCGTCCGAGAAATAGAGCAAAGCGGCTGCAGTAGTTCACACACAGCTTCCAGTTGTCTGGGAACTGCGACACTTTGGGACACATAGACAAACCTTTTTCCTAGGGATTTACGGACACGTTTTTTACAGTTAACATTATTACTACGAGCGTTTCCAAGGAATCCAACCCGCTGCCCAGAGCTTTCCCGGGAAACTCGGCGCCGTAGAGTGAGGGAGGACACACACAATGCGCTCCCCGCTCCCTCTCCCAGCGCACCGCTCCCGGCGACGCGCAGTCCCCGCGCCCCGATCACGACCGACCGGCACCCGCCTGTCCTCCCCCGCGCCACAGCGAGCTCATCTCACACCGGGCAACCACCGAGAAACGGGCTTGGGTTTGTTTGGTTCCCTCCTTTTCCCCTTTCCCACAGTGGCTTGGCGTTTCCCCGGCTGGAAGCAGCGCTGTCCCGCGGGCAGAGCCCGCACCGGTGGGGCGCGGGGCGAGCGCGGCCGCGGAGCGGAGCGCAGCGCGCAGGTTCGCCGGCGCTGAACAAAGCTGCCGGCATGTGCTTCACTTTGAGCACATTATCCTCCGGAAGCTTTTATTGAGCAACAGTCAGAGCTCCGTGAATGAAGCTATTGGAACACATACGAACTAAATGGGTAAAGAAAGGCAAGTCTGGTTACCAAAATTACATTTCTCATTTCCCATTCACCGCAGTGAGGCAGGTACTTATTTACTGCGGCTTCAAGCTACGGTAATTAGTAAAGGAGACTGTAATTTACCTAAAGGAAGGCAATTTTTTCCTTTTATTAATTTACAATAGATTTGTAAAATAATCTTACAGCAGCTGGCTCTGCTTGAATCTGTTTCAAAAGTGTGATGTAAATACTGTCTCACACTATTTTGTTGCTTAATAGGGCTTTCTGGTAGGTGATACGACTGAGAGTGAGGGGAAAGAACACCACACATTTATTTTTAAGATCATCATCACAGCGATAAAACTTATGGGAAGAAGTGAGCATACTTTCTATCTGTATGCGTTAAAAACAGACATATTCAAAGTAAGTCAAATGTAAAAGCTACAACTGGAAGGCTACATACACAGCGGGTACAGCTTAGCGCATTTTCAAGAGCTGTTTTAACTGTGTTTAAAAGGAGTAGCAAATTCCCAAATTAAATCACCCTATTTATAGCAAAGACAAAGAGTTTCACACAGCAGGAGGATGTACTAAAGAACCATTTTCCCCCACCTGTTTCCTTAGCAAGGGTTTAAGTATCTATATCTACATCTTCCTAGTAATCGCACGTCTGAAGCAATTTAGCTCACACATTATGAAACAATAGGAAGAGTGCAAATAATCGATCTGGGATTCATAACGTTTGGATTTTTCCTCAGTAAACTTCTGAGATTTTAATCTTCACTCAGCAGATTAATATTTCATACCAGAGTCAGAGGAAAATAAAAACCCATACCTAAGCAAAGTATTTATCACTGGCCTACTTGCTGTTCACACTTGGCTGCAGCAGGCACCAACTTACATCCAACTCATACATGCAATGCAACACTGAGATCCAAGAGGCAGTGACTACAGGATCAAAGCTTTATTTCAACTGTAACACAGTATATCCATGGATTATAATCCTTGAGCAAACAGAATATCACAGTAATGAAGACCTTAGCATTACAAATATGTTAAAACAGCTTGCATTTGGGGTGATATTTAAGGTCAAGTTGTATCTGAACACAACTATTAAAATATTATGAAAATTACCATTATGGAGTAAACAATGTTTTCTTTCAGATATAACCTCTAAAAGTACATTTAAATTTGGTTTTCTTATTTTTCAGTACCAACAAGCTCAAACTGAGCATCTACATCCCAACCTGCTCTATGTGAATGAAAAAGACAGAAATGAAGAACTATAAGCTCAGCCTAAAAATTAGCTCCTAACTTCTATGAAAACATGACCTTAAATAAATACAATCAAGAGAATACCATAGTGCCAGATATGCATCTAAACAAACTTACTATTTCAAATGTACTCTCAAATTAAATATGCTCGTGAAAGATTCTGCAGAGTAAGAAATTTCTTATCCTAGGGAAAAGTAACATGCCTTGCCTTCTGCTCCTGCCCCCACAGCCAGAATAACTGAGAAAGAAAAAAGCTTGGAATGTGATGGTAGAGGTGACAAGATGGGTGAGCAGGCTGTGCTCCTGGGTTAGTATTCGGGTTACTCACCAGTGCATTAACCTAAAAAAGCATAATTAATTAGTTCTTCTTTCAAGATTTCCAAGGAGAAACCTTTGGATTTTCTCAGTGTTCTTTACACAATTGCTGTCTCCCACCTATCAGAAGAGCACAAGAAGCAACAGGCCCCTAGGACCACTGCACCTTATGTATACATATATAGTAACATAAAAGGGCAAGCAGCAAGTCAAGACTATAGAGTACCAAGTTTATTTTTTAAATATTGTTTGGTTTTGTTTTCTGTTTTTATTTTCTTTGTTTTTTTGAAGGGTGTCGTGAGGTTCTTTCGAGAAAAAAATTACTCATGATGAGTAGGAAATTACAGATTATATATATAATTTCTGTATTTTATTTTTTTGATATATATATAAAAGCTTGGGATAAGATGGGGTATAACTACATAGAATCAACATGTTTGAGGTGACTGTCTTGACTTGATGAATACCCATTCAAGATTTCATAGGAGAACAATATTAAATCATATCAGTATAAATCACTTTGGGAGATTCTTAAATTTTTTTAAAGCACACTAACATTTAATATTTTCTTTCTCAAATCTGTATCCATAAAAATGCAAGTATCAAGCTAGCCCAGCCATGGTAAATTAAACTCAACAAATCTAAGTAGAACAGGAGATACCATATAATTATGGTCCCTGCCACTGCATGCCTCAACTCAGCAGACACCCCTGCCCCTATTTGTGCTATTTCACAGTCACAGGCAATTGCATTTATTTGTTTCAAACCACAGGCCGACATGAAGGCCCTTGTCTCTGAGAACAGTCACCTACACACATTCCTGCTTTAAATGTTTCTCTTCATCCAGTTTTTCTTTTTCTGGACATATTCCTACATAGTTTTCCTTGAAATAGTTGTCCTATTCCTTCTAAAGTTACACTGCAGGAAATAAAATTAAATTCCTTCTTTGAAGATAATTTCATTTTACTCTCAAGCATGCTATGTGAGCACCTAACTGCAGTAACTGCTCTAACCCTGCCTGCAGGTGCCTTTTATGCACGCTGCCAAATTCTCACCCATGCACTCAGTGTTCACACACCTAGATCTCCTTCCAGGGGAAATCACAAGGGCAAGGAGATAGTGAACATCTGCATTGTGTCCCAGTGGTTAGGCAGAGTCAGAAGAGATAAAGACTCAGATTATTTGCACGTATAAAGTTAGGGGCCCAGATTTTTGTTGAAGTGATCTCCCTTTGGATGCAAAGAACAGGATGCATCCCATTCTTTGTTAGTAACTAACTGCTCATCCATCCCTTCATGTTGAGCACACAAGGGAAAACCTATTATACACGATGGTCAGAATTTTTTGCTTTTTAAATGTGAGCTCTACAACTGTAAGATCCATACACATTCCCACTAAATCAGATTGAGAATCACATTGTGAGTTTACAGAAGAAAATATTACCAACTTGTCTTTGTGACAGAACACTGAGTAGGTATAAAATTGCAATGGTCTCTATGCCAAGTTTTTTTTAAGCTCTCAGCTTGTAAGATGAAAGCCTAATTTGATATTTTTGTAGTTATATAACAGTTCTAATATTTTGTGACATTTTGTATTGTGACACTATAGATGAAATTGTCATCGGACTGACACCCTTTACTGTTTATTCCTTAATTACAACTGTTAACAACACTGCAGAGAAGCGTGCTAATCTGCCATCACATATTATGAAAACAACGTTATTGTTACAAACACCAACACCCACTCAACAGGATAATTCTAAGATGGCAGTTTCTGTAAAAAGTTATCAGTTTAATGGACACTTCAATAGAAAAAGTTTAAAATGAACTCTTCATATTCCTGTGGAAAATATACAATTTTATACTGCACTTAAATTTTGATTTTATTGTGTCAGTGATTCTTCATGCTACATAGGGATATAATGTTTTTTGAATAGTGGAGTCTCTCCTATGTAGTATGAAGATGCACAGATAACTAGTAGCCTAGCAATATTTGCAATCATTACATTTTCATATCCTCAGACACTGCATTGGCAGAGGTACTTTTTTTTTTCCTACTACTTCCAGGTTGGGGGTGGAATGATGTCTCAGGAGATTAAATTTTAACAGTATATTGACTCAAGTCCAGGTTCTTAACAATAAAAGAAATTAGTATTTTCTAGGCTTCTTTTGCTTAAGAAAGATTAATTTTCTGCAGGCCATGTCACACACCAGGAAGGATCTTCCACTGAACTGACACTTTTAGAAGTTCTGTACCAGTGAATTTTTCATACCTAGTTAGCTCAGTACAATTAATACTCACTGGTACTGCACCTCTGTAGGAGGAAGCTGGGAAGCCGTTCAATGGCTGAAAACAAAAATATTATATCCTCAACTTCTGTATATTCTTTGTTCTTGGACAGCCACCGCCAGTTATCTTTCAGTTTGCTTCTTCCAAACTTTTCACGTCTCAGAAAAAGTTCTCACTTGTAGATTATATCAGCAGAAAAAAAATAGCATTAAGAGCAGCTTAGAAGTAGCAAAAAGCCCTAGAGATTTGTTTGCCCACCCGTTAGACAAGATATACAATGCAGGCAGAAGGAGGCTGGGGAAAGCTGCCTGGAGTGAGGTGCACCAGTGATGAAAGTGGCAATGACAAAAAAATCAGGGAAAACAAGATGCAGAAATTTAAGTTTGTTCCTTCTACAACTGCTCCCGTGAAGGTTCTTGCACAGATTCCTGGTGCTAAACCAAGGCTACTCTGATGCACAGTCTGCCTTCCCTGCTAACAGTAAATTCTTCCTTTCTCCCTCATCCACGAGCAGGCATGCAGCACAGATGACTGAAGTGAAGAAGGATAATGCAAGAATCTGTCTTTACTTATCGCACTTATATGTAGAAGCAGAGGATTAAAAATAACATAAAACTCTTCTCACACTGAAAAGCCAATTGCTTTGGTGGAAATCTATACACCAATGTTTCTCATTCTTGATCCTAAAAGCCCGTTTGAGGATTGCTTCTCTAGTACAAAATAAAAAAAAGGAACTGTACACAATGCAACAATGGAATGAAATTATCCTATGTAATTAATTTTCATTTAAATTATTTCCATTTCAGTTTAATGGCATGATATTCTGTTGCCCGATCTGGATGATCTCCTCTGTTTAAGTTATAATTTATAAAACAAAATGAAACTAAAATCTTTATTTTTGTGAATCTTCTTCAGAGTAGTTTATGCTCTGCTTTGTAGCTGTCATTTTCTTAAAGCCAATAGGAACTTCTGCTCTTCCTAAAAGAAACTCTTCCCACTCGGGAAGAGATTCTTTTATTGATGCCCAATAGAGAGTCTGAGAAAGATATAAGAAAAAATAAACTTAATTTCAAAATCTGTGTCAGCCAGTTAAAAACAATTAGAAATGCAATGCATTATTAAATCTTACTTTAAGAGTAAAGCAATTCAGAAAAGAACAACGTACTTAACATATGAAATTTTTAAACTCTTGTATGATACAAAATATCAGCTTGGAAATATTTCATTCTGCAGGACAAACTGTGAAGTGACTGAATGTGCCCTCTTGTGGTAAGCAACACATCAGTTTAGACCTTATAATACCTTTAATAAACTATTTTCCATGATTATATACTTTTCCAAAAGCAGCTTTAATATTTAAGTATGTATGTTACTGGAATTTCATTTTGCACTGGAAAAAATGTTAGAAATGAAAGCTGCACATTAACCAATGTAAATTGATTATCCTAGAAAAGTTTACAGTATTATACAGAATTATAGTTCAAAATATTTGAGTAAAAGTTTAGACCTGATAACTCACTGATGACATAATCATCTCCAGTATTTGGATCACAAATAAAAATAATAATAAAAGGTTATGTATATTCAGTGTGTGGTCTAGGAGAATTACTGTGGATCATCTAACCCTTCCTCTTGCTCTACACTGTGCCTCTGAGTAATAAATTTAATATTATTTATCTGTGTTATTAATCATTCATTATTTTTGTATTGGTATCCTAAGGGTTACTATTGTTTGTAGGATTTTCAGGAAAATTTTAAGCGCCAGGTATCATTTTTTCCTCACAAGATAATGTGATCTAAGAACTGTGCTAAGATAACACTTCAATCCATCCACATATGTATTTATTGTCATTGATGTCCATTCAGAAAAATGTGATTCTGCAGTAGAAAACAGTTATGATACATATGTAGTGAGCCTTTTTTCTTTACTTAAATACATACTGAAGAAGAAGTGCAGCATAAAACTGAAGATCTCCCTACAAAGTATTAGATTCCTGGCTAATCATTTTGATCCTTACATGTAACTCAGATATAACTATGGCTCTTGCAGGTTTACAAAAATATTTTCTTCAACAGATTTACTCAAAGAATCTTTTTTGACAAGCATATGTGCTGTCACACAAAACTACTCCGACTCAGCAAGCTGGGGATCCATTATAGCCATAACTTTCAGAGTATATTAATACAGACACATATATGGCTGAGTGAAATATGCTCAGAAGTGTTTTGGAACAAAGCATGCACAAGAATTTTGTACCATGAAAGAAAGTTTTCTTTTCCCACTATTTATAGCACTCTTCTCTAGAAGCATAAAAAAAAAGCTGAAATAGGATCTTCTCCTTCAAATAGTAACTCTGCTCTCTCCAAAATTTCACCACTGCAGCAGAGTGCAGACATTCTGCAGCCACGAGCAATTGCTCTGCAGCTTCCAATTTGTGCAGATTTTGCTCTACAAGCAGCTTCACACCTACCATGGGACTAATTGACCCAAACAACTCTAGAGGTGTCTCTAAAGTCACTGGAGAGTCTAAAACTATTCTGAACACAGTCAAAATAGGTTTAATGTTTAATATTAGTAGGTTGGCATCTTCCTTAGCATCATTCAAAATGCACAAGTACTCAGAAAAGTATGTACCCTTTTGCCTAAAAATATCTAAAAATAATAAAAAAGCCACTGAAAGGGCATACCCAGTGTGCACCCTGTCACAGTCACAGTAGGCTATTTACAAAAAGCAATGACAGATGAAAACTTTGAACAGTAAGCAGAAGAAGAAGTGATGCCTTTCCTTTAGGTAATAGCCGAAGCATGCCAACACTTGCCCAGCAGGTGTGAAGCTGAGGTACAATGCACCTCTCCTCACAGCTGACAGAGCTGAAACCTGGCCCCTGGCCCTGCTCTGACACAGCCCTGGCACCCAAACCAGCATGGGACACCCTGCTCCTGTGCCTTTGGGAACCAAGCCACCACACCGCACACAAACCACTGGGGCAAGAAACAGATGGGAATCTGCTCAAAAATTTTTATCCTGAATTAATGCTTTAAGGACTGCAGGTTGAGAAGAAAAAAAAAAAAAAAAAAAAGAACTGAGTGTTCCTGCTGCAGTACTTTTCATAAGCTTCCATACAACTCTAAAATAATTGATGTGAAATTTTCTCTGTTCATGCTGATAAACTGCTGACCCTGAACTTTCTGAAACTAAGCACTTTCTTTAAAAAAAATTAAACTAAAAGAAAAAAAAAAAAAAAGAACTGAGTGTTCCTGCTGCAGTACTTTTCATAAGCTTCCATACAACTCTAAAATAATTGATGTGAAATTTTCTCTGTTCATGCTGATAAACTGCTGACCCTGAAAGGTAAAGATGACAATCTGTGGTAAACTGAGAACGGGATGACCATATAAAACCAATTAAATAGCTCTGACATAGTAAACACAGTAATCTTCTGATATTCACAGTATTAATTTTTTATATTTGACTTCATTTTTAAATGGAAGTTTGTATAGATCTGAAAGCTGCTAAATATTTCCACCAGAATGCTCCAGAATCTAGGGACCTTGTCCCAGAATTTAGGTTCAGCTTGCTACACAGTACACAGGCCTTTGGCTATACCAGTCACTGGATTTTAAAATCAATTATTTTCACTTTAAGAACATGCTTCAGGGAAAAAAAAACCCCACAAAATATTTGGTAAACAGCAAATGAAAATAAACGAAAAGACAAGAGTTCTAGGACTTACTTCTAACTTAACAGTATCGGGATGTTGAAGTAAATGCATTCTTTCTTGCAGCCTTTTTTCTGCTGCTTCTATATCCTAGAACACAAGCAAAGTACATCTTAAAAACCAGCACTGGGAATTTAAAAAGGAAAATACACATATAAAGACATTTAAATTAACTAAGTAAACCCATTACAGCTAAACAGCATTCAAAAATTAACACGGAAGTTCAAATATTTGTTTAGTCACTCTGAAATACAGCTTGTACTACTTAGACTAACACCCTACAACTGCTAAATATGTTTGCTGCACCTTTTTCATACAGGAGTACACTTCACAACCCAGTAAGACTTTTGCAGTAAACACTGCTATTCTCTCTGGACACCAGGGTAAATTAGTTAAATTCTGTTGTATGAAACTTCAGGAAATAGAGGGGAACAGAACATCTTTTTCTGTGCTGCATGAGACTGAAGTATGTATTCTAGCTACTGTAACTGTAAAGTAACTAGGCAAATTATGTGCAAGATCTTTACTTCTCAAGACAAAGATGACTTGCTAATATGCATGCATAACATGTGCACATAAATGTAGAGCTGCAGCAAGCTGTTCACCAGACAAGCTTGGATGACAATGCACCTCACATAGTTTTCTTACAAAAAAAATCAGTATTTGGGTTTCTGATTGTCCAGTGGATGTGTGCTGGATTCACAGAAGCCCAAATAAATCATTTGAAAAAGAAACAACCAAAAAAATAAACAGCAACAAACAAATCAAAGCATGCCCCCAAACTAACCACCCTCCCCCTTTAAAGTTCTGACCTGTTCTTGTGGGCTTAGTTCCATACCCAAACATTGAAGAGATTGAGTGGTGGGCAGATGAAGAGAGACAGAAAGGGACGTGGGAGTGGGGTGTGAAGAAGCCAAAGCTGAACAGAGTGGAGGGGGAAAGAAAGTATAGCAGATGGCAGAGTTGGGAGCAGAGAGCGGGTGTGAAGAGTACAACAGAAAAACTAAATGAGAGAGGAAATTCCCCAAAGGGACTTCCCAAATATTCACCACCACTGCTGCTGAAAAGAAGAGTGAGATTCTGGAGGAGCATATCCACAAGAGAGACCAAACATGATTACTCGTATTGAATAATAGCCAGTCTGAATACATCAATAAGTAAATAGTGTTCAACTCAAGTCTACTTCAGTACAGTATGATGAAAAAAAGCAAAAAACCCCCCCCAGCCTTGCTGAAGTTTAACTTAGCGACACATATACAGTCAGATTGTTCAATTTAGATTAGTCAGATCGTTCATCTTATTTTATTTCATTTCATTAATTCCTTTTACAATATTCTCTTGTACATAATTATAAACCTAATCCAAGCAAAATTGTTCCTCCCTTTTCTACAGCAAAAGCCATACTACTGCAGGAAGCTAAAAAATGTCTGAGAAAGAGTAAACTAATTCTCAGATTTTTCCAAATTCTCAGAAGCAGCAAATGGCTACCTCTTCTTAGGTAAGAAAGGACTAATGGGATAAATATATAGAGGGAACAGGAAGAAGGACATAGGCCATTTGAAATCAATGATGTCAGAATAACAGAGGGCAACACAATTTAAGTGACTTAAGCAACGAATTTCTCTGTTGCACATACTTAGAACAGATACCCACAAACAGCACCAAACAAAGCTCGTATCAGAATGGCTCAGGCCAAGCCTGGAGAAGTTACCACCATAACAAACCATACTGAATAAAGGATCATTCAGTAACGTTCACCTCATATTCTTCCACTGGATTTTCCTCCTTTCTGATTCCTTCTTCCTAATTACTGTAGGAATTTTAACAGGAAGGAAGAAGAATATCAATCATTATTTCTTTCTAGACTCAGCCAAGTAACTGGAATGTTTATGGTGATAGGAAATGAATGTCTTTCAGGCAAGAAAGGAGAGAGTAGTTGTGCATATATGTTTAGTAGAGAAGGTCACTTTGGCATAGCCTAGATATTGGACATGTCTTTTCATTGCTCACTCCAGTTTGTGTTGTGCAGTCTATTGTCATTCAGAATACTGATTTAATGACAGACAGTGAAAGAAATTTTTGCTGGAAGGTGTAGTATGCTTTAGAAAATAACTGGAACTACTGAAAGATTAGATGGCACTTCTTGTGTGTCTACACAACTGGTAAGCTTTGTAGGAAAAATAAATCCCTGTCATCAATATAAAAATAAATACATCAGCAGTATAAACTTCTTTGGAAAAAAAACAGCTAATCTAATATGTCACAGTACTGAAAAAAAGAGAGCATCTTACAGTGCTTCCCCTAAAACCACAAGGGCTGGAACAAAAACAATTCAAGACCCTTCCCCAGAGGTAAAATGGAATGCATGACACATGCATTGCTTTTAGGGGACCAAATTCAGCTGTCACTTATATTGATATCAGTCTGGCACAATCACACTTAAATAATTCTGGAATTGCATGCCCGGGAAGGAAAGCAAATTTGTTCTAAATTACCTTTCCAGTACTAATTACTATATAGCATACTCTTTCTTTTCTATTTCATGTTACAAGCTGTTGCACAGTAATACATATTTCTAAACACAAGAAATATCACTGAGAAACAAATGTCATAAATTAGATTACAAATACTAGTCTAATTTCTGCTTTTATTACGACAACATTATATAAGCACCAAATGATACAGATTTCCCTAATCTGCAGTCTCCCTCTAAAGACATTGAGGAAAATACTCTGATAATTATGCTAAAATGCTGAACAAATGCTTATAATGTCAAAATTTCAATTAAAAAAAAAGAGGTTAGTTCCTTGCTTCCTACTGATTAGAATTTAAATTAATTTTGAAATCTTTCCTGTGCATAAATTCCAACTAGCACAGAGAAAGAAAAATGCCTTTTGCTATGATCTATTACTGAAAACAACTGATTCTGCTTACATGCAGAAAACCAGAAATGCAAATAAAAAAATAACACTTCGTCATGTCCATGTATTTTTGAGTAGGCCAAATCAACAACTCTCCACATGGTAACTGTGAAATGTACAGTGCCTGGTATCAGGAACAATATTCTGAAGCTGGCACATTAATCAGTCTTGTTTTCAAGCTTCTCATATATTATGCTGCATAGATTTTTTTTTTCCTGTTTTCTTCTGTTATCAAAAAGCATCTGCACGAGTGCATGCTTGTTAAAACTAGGATAAAATTAATAGATTTAAATTGATTTATGCTATTTTATCCTGCAACAGAATTTGTTTTGATACATATGTTTTTGCTTTTTTTTCTGTACAAACACCAACATTTTTGACACTTGAAAGGAACAATTTTGAGGATGTGACAGAAGATAGCAAATATCTGTTTAACTGCAGAAATATTTACACTCTGTATATGTCTGAGCTATTGTTACCATTTCCAATACGATAAAGCTTTCAGGATGGAGAAATATACTCTGCATTTATTGTGCTTGCCTGCATATGTAAACTGAGAATGCCTTCATAAACACAAATGATTTATAACCCCCTATATTTACGAAGCAAAAATCTAACCTAAAATGGCTATGGAAATTGGGAGTCATAATGGCTGAAATTACTAAATCAACGGAGTAGGAGCCATGGAAAAAATAATTAAACCATCCATTTGTCCTTAGCTTCTCACTGAAGCACCTACACTCACTATACCCAATAAAGAGGGGCTTGATTGCCCCTGTCCAGAAGGCAGCCCAAGTTGAAAAATCTTCTTTGTCACAGAATAGTTAAGAGGCATTTCTGGCTAACTGTTCTCCTTGTCTGCCCCTCTCTAAATAAACCTCCCATTTGAATACAAACTCTAATGCAATAGAATTATATGTACCCAAAATGTTAGCATTTTAAATCTGACCCAGGCTCTGCATGAAATAAAAACGAAGAAATTCCGGTGACACAAATTAATCTTGTAATTTTCTAGAGTAAAACTTAGTTTTTCAATAAACACAATACATGCATTATGGACCCTTAACAAGTAGGAGCTTAAAGAAAAGGCACGGGAGGTTCAGTTTTCTGCTGTCTCCCAAAAAACCGACACACATTTTTCAAATGCATCATGTCAGTGGTCAAGTGCATCTCTTCAAACTCAGATGCCTGAGCTACGGGTTCCAGAGGAGCCTTTCAGTATTCCAGCCCCTGCCATCACCTTGGGATCTTTTTAATTGCCTAGGAAACAAATCTTCCCTAAATATGACAATAGGTATGTAGAACAGCTATGAACATTATTAATGGTGTCACCCCTACGAAGAGCCAGAAACACCAAACACTGCTTTTACAGACTTGCAAGTAAAACACTTGAAGTCACTCTACACCTCTTTAGAGAAAAATATTAAACTGAGAACCTCTTCCACAACTTAACACAACCACAGCAGAACAGTTCCTACCCTTGGCCCAAAGCCCTGTAGCCCAGTCAGCCCATTTCCAAACCCATGTCTTGAATCAAAGCATAGAGGGGCTGTGAGTCCTGACAAACCCTTAAGTTCTCTCAGGCAGACATGTACTAGCATGTGTTACATCTCTACATGTGCTTAAAAAAAATAAAAATACATAGTAGCAGCTGCCACCACGAGGCTTTTGTAAGAAGGGCAGGGGAAATAGGTAGTGATGCCATCGGATAATAAAGACTTGTCATTTAATACTTTTTGGGCATGTTCCAGAAGAGGGAACCATACAGAAGAGAATTCAAATGACAACTATAGAGCAAACACTTCTTTTTTTTTTTTTTTTAATTATCTAAGCTACATAACCGTGACATTTTGATGCGGTTCCTGGTAGTTGCAGAAACTTACATTTAAAAGTGCTGCATTCCTTTTACGAGCTGCATCAGCTGCTTGAGTTTGCCATGTCTTTTTAGTCTTTTTGTCTCTTAGATAAGTCTCCATCTGCTGTAGCAGCTCTGATCTCTGAGACAGTCTACAAAGGAAAACATTTTGCTAAGTGGGTAGAACATTTTGCTCAGGAGCTAGAAAATAACCTTTTTACCTTACCAGTTTTCTCAAAACTATGGGGCTAATTAAGCCGGCTGCAGGGTGGGTGTGCTGGGGGAGGGAAAAGGTACAGGCAGGCATCACCTGCTGTGCTTGTATGAAGCTATAATGTTGCAACCAGCAGTCCTCAAATGCTGAGGTGCTTAGAAAACACTGAATCTCCCAGAAGGAAAGACAGGGTGGGTTGGGGTGACTTGATCAGTACTACATTAGCTCATTGGCACTTGTGCTAGTTGTTACAAGAAAAGCAATTTTTCCTGAATCACTACTGTATTTGCCTGACAATTTGAGTTTACAGGGCACCAAAGAAGCAATTCTATAATTAAGGCACTGAGTGAGAGAATCCAATTACCTTCCCCAAATAGGAATTTAACAGTGACAGGTTAACAATGGAGATCTTAAACCAGTACCACCATTGGAAGTCAAAAACCTCATCAACCTAAACACCCTTAACGGCAGGCAAGGATGCTAATTCCCATGGTTCCTGAAGGAAGAGTGCCACCTCCTGGAACTCCAGCCCTTTGCTGAAGCACCGCTGTGCTGTGCAGAGCTCAGATTCACTGGCACCGAGGCTCGTGGGCAGAGAGGGAGAATATCACAAGACCCTACACAAACTGCTGCGGGGCTGAGCACAGCTACTCACATCTCCTCATGTCTTCTAGCAAGGTGAACCTCCTGAGCCAAAGAGGATGACATCTTCAGTTGTTTGCCCCAGTTTTGTACTCTATAAAAGGAAAACCAAGTGAAATTAAACTCTTCTAAAGATGTACATTAACATCCACTTTCCAGCATTTAAAAATTCTGGTTAAAAAGCTGCAAAAATTATATGTCAGCTATCTGCACAAAACCTGCCACAAGACGTTGCTACAATATGCTTTGAATACATTCACACTACTAATCTTCACAATATGCTTTAGGGAAATGCTACTGTATTCTAATAATTTATGAAAAACAATTTTTTTTCAGTTTCAGATTCAGCACTCAGTTTTCTGGAGTTTCAGATGCTTTCAACCACACACACACTCTGTGCTTACATAAATTGTCTATTACTGTTTACATTACTGATTTCTGCCTTTTATCACGTTACACTGAAAACTGTTACACTTGTAAACTGCTTCTCACAGACACGGGGAGCTGTTCATAGGAAACTATGTTTAAATTGCTTAGAACTTAATGGGTTTTTTTTGACCTGTTAAGGAGATCAACTGTCCATTGATGCAAATAAAGATCCTAGAGTGCTTTTCAGAAGACTGGAAATGTTTCAGCTATTTTTTTCACTTCAGAGGTGACTGTGGTATTGCCACCTGAAGTAAAACTAAGTAACTTGCCACATGTTCATAATGTCAAAGGGTGGGTGAACTAAAAGAGCTCATCAATATAACATTAGTTAAGTCCTCCTCACTATCATGTGTCACACCTAACTCTGAAACCATCGATTTACACGTGGCCTCTGCTGATGCTGGGGTGCATCTTTTAGGGATGTATGTTTTACCACACTCTGAAAACACTTCTGTCCACCTGGCCAGTTGCTTCACCTTGTTTAACATGGAGCACACCTGTTCTGTGCTCCTTCCTTCAGCCGGGGCACTTCGTGCTCTTTGCGACACACCTTTACCGGCGACAGGAGAAGCCAGAGCATCCCGCTGCACGCACCTCCTGTCCTTAAGGGCGCCTGTAGCTTACAACAGGAGCGATAAACGAGCACCATGGTGAGTGACAAACCGGCACCAGCCTGAGCATCCTCCGCCCGCAGCACCGCGGGGCAGCCAAGGCCTGAGACAGCCCGGGATGAACTCCGCGGGCAGTCCCCGGATCTCCAGCAGCCTCAGGGAAGCTCCTCGGGCGGAGCACGGCACCTCCAGCCTAGACCCCGAGGACCTCCGAGGACAGCACCTCCCGCCTCAGGCCGCGGCCACAACAGGGCGGGAGCGCCACGGCCGCACTGGGGCCGCGCACAGCCTGCGCCCTACCATTGGGAAAAGGGGGGGGATGGATTTAGGATCTCATTGAAAGGTACTATCCCGCATGACTACGGGAGAATAAGCCAGGAAATAAAAATAAAATACCAAATACACTAGCTAGTTTACCTTTAGCCTCGTCGCCTTCGAAAAGGAAAGCAACCACCCGCCATGGTCTCCGGGACGTCCTAAAACACCCCCCGCCCCCGCTGCCATGGAGACAGCCGGAAAGGCGGAGCCGAGCTGTGGCTTCGGTGGGCGGGATCAAACGGGGGCGGGAACGGAATCCGCTCCTGGGATTGGAGGAGCGAGAGGGCGCGGGGCCAATCAGAGCCCGGGGCGGGAGCGCTGCGGGGCGGCCCCGGGGTGGTGGCAGGGGGCGGTGGGTGGTGCCGTGCCCGCGCTCTCCCTCACAGCGCTCGGGTCCCGGAGTCGCTGGAGGTGCTGCCGGGGTTTGCGGTTAAAGCAGATGTGGCTCCCTCTGTGCGGCATGTCCGACACGGGAGAGCGCCCGGCAGTTGTGCACATGGGTTCCAAACCTGGTGTGATCCTGCCCGTGTGTCACAGCAGAACAGCAGAATTCCTTCCCGGCCTCAAAGCTAGAGAGTTGCTGAGACAGTCTAGTCCTTTATAAGCAAACTTATATCAAAATATACTCCAAATAAAAAAAGCCCAATTAAACCACCTTTTTTGTTTTCTGTAAATGTTTTGTCCTTCACAGAAAACACAAACCAAAAAATTCCAAGCTAGATAAAACTGGAAAATATTTTTTATCCATTTCATTAGTGCCTAATGTAGATTTATGCACATGTGCAGCTGCAGATTTCTAAAAGCTGCTCTGGAAGTGCTTGTCTGGCCTAAATGTTTTCTATCTAAGCATTCTCTCATCCTAGTTTAAGACACCTTATCACAAGCCTTTCTTACTGCTGATCAGAAGCTATTTCTCAGTTTCTCATCTCTTTATATTTTCTATTTCCCCTCCATTTTATATTTCTGCAACAAATTCACATTAATGCATTTCATAACATAAGTAGTTCTTTAATGTACTTGTCAACTTACTCTTGCTTATTGCAGCAGTCAGGATAAATAGTACTTAAAAAGTTAATTTAATTTCTTTTTATCGTTGTGATTTAAAAACAAGACTTCTGATAAATGTCACAGAGGTGTAGGAGTCAGTCCTCATTTCGAATGGTGCGAAAAGCTAATTGTTATGGTCACACTAACTATAGCAGAAAGCCCAAGTGTTTTGCATATTTTACTTTGAGTTACACCAGCTCTCTAATGGCTGTGATCTTTCTTTTCTTTCATTTAATGAATTTCAGGAAGAAAAGAGACAAACTGAAGTTTGGTTTACAAAGACCATTATAAATGCCATTTGTGAGTAGAATACCAAGAGCATTTTAGTTAAGTTACAGATATTATCAATTGTTCAGTGTTGCAGAAACAGAGAGAGGATGGAAGCCGTAATTTTCTAATGGCTGCCTTATGTGATAGTGGTTTAAGTTGACAGCTACTGAGCTATAAACTCTTATTTTAACCTAGATTGGTTCTGAAGTTGTCAAGAATACAAACTTTAAACTTATTGAAAAAAGTATTGTGCTGGTAACAGCCAGAAATCCTCACGTGCTGGTTTGGTCTGGGGTGGAATTAATTTTCTTCACAGTATCTGATCTGGGGCTGTGTTTTGAATTTGTGCTGGAAACAGAGCTGATAACTCAGGGATGTTTTTATTTCTGCTGGTCAGGGCTTACACAGGGTCAAGGTTCTTTTCTGCTTCTACCCCATCTTGTGGGAGTGCACAAGGTGATGGGAGGGACAAAGCCTGGACAGCCGATCCAGGTGACATTCCAGACCGATCCAGGTGACATTCCAGACCGATCCAGGTGACATTCCAGACCTTATGGTGACATGGTCAGCGTACAGAGCTGGGGAGGAACTCTTGTACGTGGGGAAAGGCTTTTTCCTGCATATCTGAATGCACTGGCACCTCTCTGTAGTGTGTCCTATTGTTACATGTGTGTCATGTCATGATGAGCCCCTGCCTGAGCTTCCAGCTGTTATGGACTTTTCAGAAAAAAAACCACCTTTAATAATTTTTATAAAAACTCATTTTTTCACCCAGATTCTGTCTTCATTAAACACTTCTATCTATATGTGAGTTTATTGTTGGATCACTGCTATAAAAATTGGAAAAACTAGATACCTGCCAGTGGGACCCTGATATGTGTATGTACTGTCCATAAGGATTAAGGATTTAATGTTAGCACTGAAATGGGAACATTGTGACCCTCGCTCTTTTTTAACCCTACAACTTGATTTTGCTCTGGAAACTTTGAGGGTTTTCTGAGTGAAATTGGTGGACTGAGACACTAGGTGGCACTTAAATACAGCTAACAAAGATTTTTGTCTCTTTCAACACACAAAAACAGACTAACACATCCTGTTCTAACATACAGTTAATTACATCCTCAAAATGATGTCTTGGATTGATATTACTAAACAAACATATAAAAAATGTAATTACAGACAACTGAAATAAATACTGTGGGCTTATAATTGCAAGATATGTTTTTTGCTTGTAATATGCTACACACCTGTGCATAGTTTATATAGATAGTATTTTATTTTGTCATTTTACTAACATTTAGGATGGCACGATTTAGCTTTATGTGCGTTTATTTACTGCTACCAATTTTTGCCATATGTCAGTTTTTAAAAAAGGAAATGTTTTATATATTGGGATTCCAAGACACCAGTATTTCAAAGGGAAAACTGTAAAAAAGAAGTTTTCTTATATGAAACCACTTCAAAACTTTTTAAAAGAAATGCAGTTTTTTTCCCCCCTTTGTTTTCCACTTCTTCCTTACCTTTTGGAGGTATACCTCTCTTGGTACAATACCTGAATATCCACTTTGAGGTCTATCTATTCATAAACGTTTGTTGAGTGATATCATTGGTGAAATGCAGCAGGCCTTCAGGACAGTGTGAGAGCCGTGAAATCCCATCAGAGAGAGCAGCTTGTGGCCATCACCTTGGCTTATGGCAGTTTTCCTATCGGCTGCAGAGGCTGTTGGCAGCGTTTCAATCAACTGCACAAGCCCTGTGCAAAGCTGCTTTAAGTTACTACAAGCTAAAAGGCAAAGGCATGCAAGGAAATGCCTTCCCAGAGCAGGAGTGAGCTAATAAAGTATCAAACTTAGGAGGGTAAAAAATGGGCTTCTAATTCCTCTTTCACATTCCAATATTCAGAGACTAGCTCTCAACCTTTCTGTTGGCAGGTCCCCTACGCTTCCCTGTCCTGTGTTACAAATTATTGTCTTCTCTGTAGTAGTGATATTAGAGCTGAGATGAAGCTTATAAATGGTAGGACAACTCAACAGCACATTCCTGTATTTGTGTTTTGGGTTTTTTGGTAGCTAAAAGTGTGTATTTGGTATGGGAAACACTGGTGCACATATGGAAGTCACGTGTTGTTGAAAAAAATTCCAACACATTACTCTGTGCTTAGACAAACGAGTGTAATCTGTGTGTGCTTGTTGGGATTGCCCCCAGACATCAGGGGACCTGCTTCACGTGAACCAGAACCCAAACAGCAGACCAGGATGGGCTCAGCAACCATCAGCTGGTGCAAAAACATTCCAAACTACAAATGACTGGGCCAGGTTCTGAAAAAGAGTTGGAAGACCTGTGTGAAGAGGAAGAACCAAGAGCTCTGTGTGTGTGGGCACAGAAGTGGTGGAACTCCAGCTGCTTTGTGTGCCTGTCAAAATGTGGTATAAAACTGTGCATCAGGCCATGCCACACTCTGTCCAGTGTCAAAGAAAAAAATACTGTTCTTGATAAAAAGATGTTAACAAGACAGTATTTTCTTCATGCTTCAAGTAGGGATAGAAACCTGATAAATAGAACAAATCTAAGAAAATCAGTATTCAGCTACAATCTTTTTCCCTTTTTTTACATCTTTTGAGGAAAGTCCTTTAAGGTTCTGTAAATATAAGCTAGAAGTAGATAATTCTTCAGACAGTTTGCTGATACACCCACTCAGTCTTGTCAAGGAGATATGTGCCCCAAGAGGTGCCCTCCATCAGTAGCCTATGGTACAGCTACTTCTTTTTGAAGAGTTCACAAAAATAGTTTGGCCCTTAAGTAATAACATTAAGCCTTCTCTTTAAAAAAAAAAAAAAAAAAAAAAATACAGGTCTCGACTGACTTTAACAGATGTACAGGTAGTTGAATGTTTTACAAGTAATTATAATAACTATTTACAGTAATTAACTTGAATCTAATTGCTTCTCAGCATGTTAGGATAGTAAATTAAAACTTTCTTTCAAACAACTCCTATAGTCTGTTTTCCCTAAACTGCACAAAGGAAACACAATAAAAGAACCTCCTGGAGAACCACCATTCTCTGTTCCTGTTTGGAATACTTTGAATGGAGGTGCTTAGCTTTGATCTTACAACCAGCCCTTTACTTACTTGTGTAGACTGGATATTTCTTCCCCAGCCTGGAGAGCAAGTTCCTCCCGAGAGCAAAAGAGGTACATGTGAACAAGAGGGACAGAAATACACTTGTTGGCTCCTACGTGAGAGAGTCATGTCAGATGGTTTATACAAGGGAAGGCTGGTTTTACCTGGCTCCCTCCCAAATGAGTGCAGAGAGCTCAGCTCTCCTAGACCACGATGTAGGCC